GAGTGGGGACTAGTGGTTAGAGCCGGGGTGCAGGTGGGGCCAGGAGTTCTGGTGTAACCATTGTGGTGTTGCCCCTCTGGTGCTCGCACACAGTGCTGGGCTGCATTAAAGGTGCATCAGCTGCCCGGCCGAAGGGTCCCAATGAGCCTCCTTCAATCACCCCCTTCATCCCCGGGCACCTACCCCCATGCTTACCAGCCCCCCGGGAGCCTTCGCCCATGGCCCCCGGAGCAGGAGGGAGACGAACAACAGATTCATTGTGAAGCAGGGTCATTCCCACCCTGGCCTGACCCCCCCACCTCTGCCAGGGGTAGAAGTGGCAGCCCGGGGGCACTGGGGAGCGGTGCTCCCCCCTTGCTCCTCACACCCCCCAACAATCCTGTGTCCCAAGCTCTGACCTTCTGGGGGGGGAGCCTGTCTGCCCTCAAACTCCTGTCCCACATCCCACCCCCCTCCTGTAGCCCATAGGATTATTTTGGTAGCTATTATATCCTACTAATCCAGCCAGCTGGATTAATTAATATGTTTCTTTTTCTGAAATTCATCCATTTTATTCTTATATTTTATCAGTGTTCATTCCTTGGAATTTAGGATGTGTTGAGGCCTGTGTTTCCTACTAAGAAGTTTTGCTGAAATGCAAGAAGCCTACTGGCCTGTAAGATCTGCTATATAGCAAAAAGTAGAATTAGTTATAAATATGTCAGCATAAAAGCTAGGAACCTTTGGTACAGATGAGAATGGTCCCTGAACTTAGAACCATAGAATCTCAGGGTTGGAAGGGACCTCGGGAGGTCATCTAGTCCAACCCCCTGCTCAGAGTAGGCCCAATCCCCAGATGGATTTTTGCCTCAGATCCCCAAATGGCCCTCCTCAAGGATTGAACTCACAGCCCTGGGTTTAGTAGGCCAATGCTCAAACCACTGAGCTATCCCTCCCCCACAACTTTGGGGAACCAAGGGGAGGAACTATCCACATCACATCACAGGTTTATCCGACTTCTACAACAGGTTGGTAACCGCAGGGTCCACCACAACTCGAGGTCATCAAGAGAGCCTAGGCTGGCAGTTTTGGAGTGAGATACACCTCTACCCCGATATAACGCGACCCGATATAACACAAATTTGGATATAACACGGTAAAGCAATGCCCCGGGGGGGGGCAGGGCTGCGCAGCGCACTCCGGAGGATCAAAGCAAGTTCGATATAACGCCGTTTCACCTATAACGCAGTAAGATTTTTTGGCTCCCGAGGACAGCGTTATATTGGGGTAGAGGTGTAATTCTTATTAATATATTTAGAAAGTAAGTGTCGTAATCCACTAACCTATAGAAGAAGGGGACCCATACATTTCTTAGGGTATTGAAATAAGATTTGGGTATAGTAGGTTGGGCCTGAATTACATAGCTCAGGATCCTATAAAATACCTCGTAAGAGAGTTCTTGGTTAGTTCGGTTTTTCGCTCCTCTAAATTCTAAGCTCTTCTAACTCCTGACGCTTCGGTTTCTTGGGGTGCTTTTTATCTCTCCTCTATTCTATCTTCTATCACGCTATCAGCTCACCTTGTGCAGTACAGTAACTACTCAACATTCCTAACCATTAGGGAAGCCAGCACCATCGCGTTATCGGGCATGCTAGGAGTGAGGCTGGTCCTTCACCTCCCATCACCGGGTGCTCAAGGAAGGGTGTGAGAGTGTTAGGTTAAGATACTTATAATAGAAATGTTACCAGCAGGAGTTTGGAATTCTTTTACTGGTTTGCAGTTATAAGTTTCATTGCATTCCTTGTTTTTATGTTAATGGCAATAAAGATTTTATCAATTTGGTATTGTCCTCAGTGTATGCGTTCTTGCCAAGCACCTCGAGAGTCCTCTCCCGATATAGAACTCTCTGGGTTCTTAAACTCTGTAGTCTGAATTGGACAAGAACCTATAAATCTCTGGTCGGATGCGATCAGTGGCGAGCCATAAAAACTAACCCATCAAATTCAGGTCAACACTCCGTACACCCCAACCTACTTCCCTCAAACTCCCGGCTTCCCCCAAACACCCGCCGTGGGGCGGCCCACAATCGCCAGCAGCTATATCACTCCATGTTGTGTTCATGGAAACGCAATAAAGGGCCCAAGATGCGAACACACCCCAGCCCCTGCCCCACACTGAACAGGGTTAAACACAGGCTGGGGGTGGGGTTCAGAGCCTGCAGTCTGCTCAGCCCCACGGCAAACCCCCCATTGACCCCTGGGACCGGCTGTTACAGACCCAGCAGAGCAGGAACTGGGGGAGCCGTGGCAGGCGCCGTGTGAAACGAGGGGTTTGTTCCAGCCCCGGCCCCGTTCGCTGGAGCGAGTCTCTAGCTGGAAAATCCCCCGGGTTTGGGCATCTCCCCGCTGGCCCCAGAGACGCTAGCGACTGTCCGTGGGGGGGGGGGGGGGGAAGAGGAAGCCAGCAGAGCTGGGCTGGAGCCGGCGTCGCCGCGGCTGCTGTTAAAGTCCTACCCCGTTTCCTCCCATTTAGGGGTTCAGCCGGGGGAGGGGCGATGGCGTAAGGGTCCCTCTCTCCGACTGCTCTGCTCAGGACGTCTCCACGGAGCAGGGTCCGGACAGCCCCGGAGACAGGGGCTGGCAGCTACAACGGTGAAGCGAGTCTCTTTCTTTAAGGCCCCAGAGGGTGGTGGGCAGCACAGCCCGTCCCCGCAATATTTTATCCACCAATCAGGCCTTATTTCCAACACCCCAATTGTGGGTCAGGGATTTCTGCTCCCCCACTTCTCCCGTGTCCCAGGCAGGCCCCAGCCTGGCCCGTGGGTTCTGTCCGGCGGCCGCTCAGGTTGGACTAATCCTGTCTTTCTGTCTCGCCAATTTTCCACGCAACGTTCATTCGTCCAGGTTCTCGTGATGCTGCCTGAACTTCTCACTCACCTTCACCGGCTGAACCCACCACGAGGGGACATTTGGAGGCTCCGGTATCACAGCCGCCCCCTGGGGTGGGGAGATTTGGGGGGTAGGGGAGAAGGAAGCTCTGGGGGTTTGTACAATAGAAATACAGGGTGGGGAGTGTGACGGAGCAGGGAGCAAGGCAGATTTGACCTGGGAATGTTGCAGGGGGGTTGCAGTGGGGATGTGGGACTTCCCTTGAAGGAAGCTACCTGAGCTGTAACCTGAGCCAGGAACGGGGGTGGGGAGAATTAACACCTTCTGCCCTGGAGACTGAACAAAGGAGAGGAGCAGCGGGAGGAGTTGGGAGTTTAGTTTCGGTTGGGGCTGGGTGGTGCAACGCAGGGAACCCCAAGCTGGGGTCTAAGCTCCCTGAACCTCCCAGAGGGACCTAATTGAGGGGGTCTGGTCGTACCTACACACTCTGCTTGAGACTGTGTTCCTGTCCTTAAATAAACCTTCTGCTTTACTGGCTGGTTGAGAGTCGCAGTGAATCTCGGGAAGAGGGGTGCAGGGCCCTGACTCCCCCACACTCCGCAACAACAAGGGGGAGAGAAAAGGGGCTGGGGGACCCCGCTGCAGAGAGAGGAGGGGGACAGACACCTGTCGGCAGCAAGTGCCATTTTCCAGTGCCAGGGTCAGACGCAGCCTCCCCGCTCCCCACTGACAGCCCCAGGCAGAGACCGGCCCATCAGGGCCAGGAAGTGGGACCCCAACGCCATCCAGGGGCTGCTCCGTGGGGAGCCCGACACGCCCAGTGCTGGGGCAGCTCCTCTAGCTGTTACCGCAGGGGCTGGTGCTCGCGGGGCCAGAAGTCAGGGGGTCAATCCTGGGGTGCAGGAGTCAGGTCGGGAGCAGTCTGGGGAGTGGGATTTTTGAGGCAGGGGTGTTTGGGGGCAGGGGAGTTTGTGCTGGTGTCTCAGACCCCCAAGAGGAAGCGGTTCCTCCCCTGGGGAGATTCTCTTCTCTGTATAGCCAGATCCAGGCTCCTGGGGATGCAGAGAGATGATGGGTTAGAGGGACCCGTATTGCCCTGGGTCCTGCACCTGCGGGGAGCAAGGGGCACAGAAGGGGCGGGGTCACCTCACCTAGGGCACCTCCCTCGGGCGGCTGTAATAGGCCTTGGCCAGGATCGGCCCCAGGACGAGCAGGACCGCGGCGCCCAGCACCAGGCGGGCGATGTTGGCATTGGTGAAATCCGGGTGCCCCGGGGGGGCTGCTGCGGGGGGAAGGGGAGAGTCACTTGGCAGCTTGGATGAGGAAATCGACAGCTAGCGCTGCCCTGGGAGTGGAGCCCCCAACCCCCGCCATTCGGCAGGTCTGGCCCAGCCCCTCTCTGGGGCCTCCCTGGGGCTGGACCCCTCAGGGGAGGCTGCGTCCTGCTGCCCTGGGGGCTGAGCCTCAGTTTCCCCAGAGAACAGGGCACCTGGGCAGTTGAACTGCCCCCTGAGCCACCCGGCCCCCCTGTAGTCCCCTCTGTCCACTCCCACTGGTACCTCTGCCCCGGCCTGTCTGCTGTGCAGTGAGTCCATCCCCGGGGTATCTCGGCTGCTGCCAAACACAGCCAGGCAATGCGCGGGGGGGAGGCTGGGACATCACCCGCTGCCCCCCACGTCCCAATGGTGCCCAGGGCCCAGCCAGATGCAGCAGAACATCTATTGGGGGGGGGGGGGCGGGGATCCCCTGAGAACCCAGTGGGGGGAGGGCAAGGAGAGGGAATTCTGGGTAATGTACACCCCAATTGCCAAGGAGATGTCATGGGGTGTAGGGAAGGGGGTTATAGCCCCAGCCCCCCTGAGCCCAGCAGGGCCCAGTGCCCCAGATCCTGCCCCGACCCTGGGATCCCCAACAGCTTCCTGGCAGCAACCTACAGGGAAGGAGGCTTTGGGAGAGCTGGGGGCCTGGCAGTGGGGGAGGGGCAGTGGGGCTGTCTCTCCATCCCCCGCATGTCAATGACCTGTGGTATCTGGGCCCCACCCACCAGATTCACTGCCCCCGTCCCAGCCCCTGGGCACCGCGAGCCTGTTCCCAGAGCTAGTACGATGGTGATTCCCCCCCCAGCACCGGTACCTGGCCCCGCGCTGCCTGGTCGAGTGGGAGTCGGCGCCGCTCCAGGCTGGGTCGGGTCGGTTCCCCCTGCAGGAATAGAACCAGCGTCTGTCCGGGCAGGGGGAGGGGATGAAACAGCGACTCAGTGATCACCCCACCCCCGACTCAGCATCAATCGTCACTGTCAGTCCCGGGAAGGGGGAGGAGGATTTTAGTGGCTGGGGAGTGGGGACCCTCCCTTCCCTCGCTGTATCAAACCAGGATGCGCAAATTCCAACAGCCCAGATTTGCTCTGAGATCACCAGTGGGGGTTGGGAACCACATGGGATCCATCATTTCGGGTCCAGTTTTCATGTAGACATGAGCTTAATCCATCTTTCTATCCCTCACCAGACGTGCTCCCATCTGTCCACCACCCTACATCCCCATAGACCCACATTCCCACGGGCACGTGACTGTCTGTTTCCACTAGGGCTGCCGACTTTCTAGTCACACAAAACCAAACACCCCTTCGCCACCCCTTCTCTGAGGCTCCGCCCCCTGCTCACTCAATCCCCGCTCCCCCCGTTGTTCGCTCTTCCCCACCCTCACTCACTTTCACTAGGCTGGGGGAGGGGGCTGTCATGTGGGAAGGGGTCAGGGCTGTGGACTGGGGGTGCAGACTCTGGGGTGGGGCTGGGGATGAGGAGTTTGGGGTGTGGGAGGGGGCTCTGGGCCTGGGCCGAGGGGTTCAGAATGCAGGACAGGGTGCAGGCTCTGGGATGGGGCCGGGGATGTGGGGTTTGGGGTGGAGGAAGTGGCTCTGGGCTGGGGTGAATCCAATTTTCGGCCCCCCACTACAGAAAGGATGTGGACAAATTGGAGAGAGCCCAGCATAGGGCAACGAAAATGATCAGGGGTTTGGGGCACATGACTTATGAGGAGCGGCTGAGGGGACTGGGATTGTTTAGTCTCCAGAAGAGAAGAGTGAGGGGGGATCTGATAGCTGCTTTCAACTACCTGAAGGGGGGTTCCAAAGAGGATGGAGCTCGGCTGTTCTCAGTGGGGGCAGATGACAGAACAAGGAGCAATGGTCTCAAGTTGCAGTGGGGGAGGTCCAGTTTGGATATTAGGAAACACTCTTTCACTAGGAGGGTGGTGAAGCACTGGAATGGGTTCCCTAGGGAGGTGGTAGAATCTCCATCCATAGAGGTTTTTAAGGCCCGGCTTGACAAGCCCTGGCTGGGATGATTTAGTTGGGGTTGGTCCTGCTTTGAGCAGGGGGTTGGACTAGAACCTCCTGAGGTCTCTTCCAACCCTCATCTTCTATGATTCTATGAAGGGGTTCGGGTCCCGGCAGCGCTTACCGGGGCTCAAGAAAGCGGCCACCCAGTCCCCGTGGCAGCTCTGTGGGGTGCACGTTGCCTTTGCGCCCGCAGGCTCCGCTCCCCGCAGCTCCCATTGGTCACAGATCCTGGCCCATGGGAGCTGCAGAGCCGGCACTGGGGCGGGCGCAGCGTGTGGAGCTTCGCTGGCCACCCCAGCGCCTGGGGGCCGCGGGGACCCGGCAGTCACTTCCAGGAGCTGCACAGAGCTAGGGCAGGCGGGGAACCTGCCTTCGCCCTGGGCCCCCGCTGTGCCGCTGACCTGACTTTTAACGGCCTGGTCGGCAGGGCCTACTGGAGCTGCCAGGGTCCTTTTCGACCACGTGTTCCGGTTGAAAACCGGACACCTGGCAACCCTTGATTCCTGGGAGCTACAACCAAAACTGCCTAAAATCCAGAGAACCCCTCTGTACCCATCTGTCTACGTAATGGGGTCCCCCAGTCTGGGAGCCAGGACTCCTGGGTTCTATCCCTAGCCCCAGTTTAGATCGGGAGGGGGCCGGGAGTCAGAGGTGCTGAGTGCTGCACAGACACAGACAAAAGGTGAAGAAGGATGATTATCCCCCATTCTTGCAAGAGGAAATGGGGGCACAGGCAGATTTAGTGACACCCCAAGGTCGCTTGGGGGCAGGGATCCCCCCTCCCTCATCCCCCTAGCTCCAGTGGCTGGGGAACCCCCGAGTGACTCCATCCTCGCTCCCTGGCCAGGCGTTCCCTCTGCTGGGCCCAGGGCTCAGGGCAGAGCCTGGCTCTGAGGGTGCCATTGGTCCAGAGACTCCTTGTGGATCTGGCTGGGGTGGGGCTGGGAGTGGGGATGCCAAGCCGGACCTCTCACCTGCTACAACAATCCGCACGGAATCACTGGGATCCGACCAGTTGGGCGGCTCCGATCTGGAGCGAGATCGGCAGCTGTAGATCCCTCCGTCTTCCTGTCTGGCCCTGGGGATGATGAATTCACCCCCGTCACCATCAGCATCCACCTCCTGGATTCGGATTCCACCTTTATCCAGCAATAACCTCCTGGCCTCGCACCAGCACTGACAGCGGATGGTGATGGTGCGCCCTGGGACGATCACCCCGCTGGGGCTGACGGAGATGGAGGGTCCGGGCGGAGGGAGCTCTGCATTCACACGCAAACAGGAGTGAGATGGAGACATATAAACCCCTCCCCGTGTGTCTGTAACCTGCCCTTAGTGCCCAGCCCCAGGGACAGCGCCGGGGTAACAGACACCTCACTGCATCCACAGTCTCTTACTCCTGGGGCAATTCTGCGCATTTGCGGACACGCTAGGGTTGCCAATGTTGGTCAGATGTATTCCTGGAGATTTTATCACATGACATAATATTTAATTAAAGATTAATCTTTAATTCCTGAAACTCTAGGCCAATCCTGGAGGGTTGGCAACCTTAGGACGTGCATAATTTTTTTTTCTCCACAGAAAATACATTCTGCCCACGAAGGGCTGCAGTTCTGCCCTTTGACCACTAGAGGCTGCTGTGGCGCCAGAGCACCCAGCAGCATGAACAAAGCCCGCTGTTCTGATGCCACAGCGGCCCCTGGTGGGCAAAAGGCAGAACTGCAGCACTTCTGGGGCAGAATGTATTTTCAGGGGGAGGGGGGGAATTCTCTGCCTGCCCAGTGTTGCAGAATTCCCCCAGGAGTAGAACTTTCACTCTATGCATCCGAAGAAGTGAGGTTTTTACTCACGAAAGCTTATGCCCAAATAAATCTGTTAGTCTTTAAGGTGCCACCAGACTCCTTGTTGTTTTTCCCAGGAGTAGAAGTTCATCACAGCACCTGCCCGCAGAGTGGGGCACCGAGGGCTGCTGGGGGGGTCACAGACTGGGGCTCAGCATTGAGTCTGGGGACAGGGGAGGGGGCCTGGAGGAACACATGGGGATGGGGGTTGCGGGGACAGGGGCTGATGTGTCTGACTGAATGGGAGAGGCTTGGGGTCAGCCAGGGTCTGCATGGGGGAGGCTTCCCAGCTCCCTAATAACACCCCCCCAAAAAAAACCCTTCTCCCGCCCACACCCAACACCTTCCAGGTTCACTCCTAGACTCCTTCCCTCTCCCTCAGCTCCTCCATTACCCCTGACTCCCCCAAGCGTTTCACTGCTTCTGACAGGAGCAGGAAATACAGCATTTTGCAGAATTTAAAAAAATTTTGGTGCAGAATTCCCTCAGGAGTATACAGATGTCCAGGCTGGTGGGAAGGGAATTCAGTATTGGGATGGTGCCGGCTGGGCAGCCCCTGGGCCCCGACTCCTCTGTGCATCATCAGAGTGGGGGCAGCCTGGGTGAGCATCCTCCTGTGAAAGGACCCCTGCTCTTCAGCTTCCCCTGGGGGCAGAGATCCCCCCTCCCTCATCTCCAAATCTCCAGCGGCTGTTACTCTCCTTTGGCTGGAGAACCCCCAGTGACTCCATCCCCACTCCCCGGAACGGCATCCCCTCTACTGGGCCCAGGGCTCAGGGCAGAGCCTGGCTCTGAGGGTGCCATTGGTCCAGAGACTCCTTGTGGGTCTGGCTGGGGGTGGGGCTGGGAGTGCGGATGCCAAGCCGGACCTCTCACCTGCTACAACAATCCGCACGGAATCACTGGGATCCGACCAGTTGGGTGGCTCCGATCTGGAGCGAGATCGGCAGCTGTAGATCCCTCCGTCTTCCTGTCTGGCGCTGGGGATGGTGAATTCACCCCCGTCACCATCAGCATCCACCTCCTGGATTCGGATTCCACCTTTATCCAGCAATAACCTCCTGGCCTCGCACCAGCACTGACAGCGGATGGTGATGGTGCGCCCCGGGGCAATCACCCCGCTGGGGCTGACGGAGATGGAGGGTCCGGGCGGAGGGAGCTCTGCATTCACACACAAACAGGAGTGAGATGGAGACATATAAACCCCTCCCCGTGTGTCTGTAACCTGCCCTTAGTGTCCAGCCCCAGGGACAGCGCTGGGGCTAACAGACACCTCACTGCATCTACGGTCTGGTACTCCTGGGGAAATTCTGTGCATTTGCGGACACGCTCGGGTTGCCAATTTTGGTCGGATGTATTCCTGGAGATTTTATCACATGACATAATCTTTAATTATAGATTAATCTTTAATTCCTGAAACTCTAGGCCAATCCTGGAGGGTTGGCAACCTTAGGACGTGCATAATTTGGTTTTTCCCCACAGAAAATACATTCTGCCCAAGAAGGGCTGCAGTTCTGCCCTTTGACCACCAGAGGCTGCTGTGGCACCAGAGCCTCGAGCAGCATGAACAAAGCCCGCTGTTCTGATGCCACAGTGGCCCCTGGTGGGCAAAAGGCAGAACTGCTGCACTTCTGGGGCAGAATGTATTTTCTGGGGGGGGGAATTCTCTGCCTGCCCAGTGCTGCAGAATTCCCCCAGGAGTAGAAGTTCATCACAGCACCTGCCCACAGAGTGGGGCACCCAGGGCTGCTGGGGGGGTCACAGACTGGGGCTCAGCGTTGAGTCTGGGGATGGGGGAGGGGACCTGCAAAGACCATAGGGATGGGGGAGGAGGCTGCAGAGACCCATGGGGATGGGGAAGGGGGTCTGCAGGGACATATGGCTGGGGATGGGGGTTGCAGGGACGGGGCTGATGTGCCTGACTGAATGGGAGAGGCTTGGGGTCAGCCAGGGTCTGCATGGGGGAGGCTTCCCAGCTCCCTAATAACATTATCTCTTTATGGCATGTGGATTCCTCTGGGCTAACCACAAATGCTTTTGTTTTTGCTTGTAACCTTTAAGATGGACCTCAAGAAAGCTATTCTGGGTGCTTAATCCTTGGAATTACTCTTTTAAAATCTAGCAATAACCTGAATTCCCAGATGTATTTTCTTTCTTTTTAAATAAAATTTACCATTTTTAAGAACAGGATTGGATTTTTGTGTCCTAAGAGGTAGAGCATGTTGTTTAATTAGCTGGTGGCAACATCTGATTTCCTTTGTTTTTCTTTCTCAGCTCATCCCCCAGATGGGGGGTGAAAGGGCTTGAGGGTACCCCACAGGGAGGAATTCCCAAGTGCGCCTTCCTGGGTTCTCAAAGGGTTGTTGTTGTTTTTTCACTTGGGTGGTGGCAGCATCTACCCATCCAAGGTCAGAGAGAAGCTGTGACCTTGGGAGTTGAATACCAGCCTGGAATGGCCAGTATGAATTTTTAGAATCTTTGAGGGCCCCACCTTCTGCACTCAAAGTCACTGCCTCTGAGAACAGGCTCCATCCCTCCCCCAGAGCAACCACTGGGGGAAACTGCCCCATAATCTGTGACTCAATAGATTCCCCCCGGCACTGGTACCTGGTCCCGCACTGCCTGGGTGGGTGGGATTCGGCACCGCTCCAGCCTGGGTCGGGTCGGTTCCCCCTGCAGGAATAGAACCAGCATCCATCGCGGTGGGGGAAAGGGCTGAAATGGTAACTCAGCAATTGTCCCACTCCCACCCTGCAATTCACCATCGATCGTCAGGGTCATTCTGGGTAGGGGGAGGGAGATTTTTTATGGCCAGGGCCGGTGCTGTCTGGGCAGCCCCTGGGCCCTGACTCCTCTGTGCATCCCCAGAGCAGGGGCAGCCCAGGGGAGCATCCCCTGGCAAAAACCCCTGCTCTGCAGCTCCCCCTGGGGGCAGGGATCCCCCCTCCCTCAGCCTTGACTCTCCAGTGGCTACTTCCTGGCCGGATGTCCCCACCTCTGGGCCCGGGGTTCAGGGCAGAGCCTGGCTGTAAGCGTCTCATAAAGTCCGAGCTCCCGAGGGTCTGGCTGGGGGTGGGGCTGGGAGTGGGGACGCCAAGCCGAGCCCCTCACCTGCTACCACCAGCTGCACGGGGTCGCTGGGCTGTGAGGAGATGAAGGGCTGTGATCGGGGCCGGTAGCTGCAGCTGTAGTTCCCTCCGTGCTGCCGGCCCACGGTGGGGATGTGGAACTCGACCCCGTCCCCGGCAGGGTCCATGTGTCGCTGCAGGTCGCCCCCCCCCCATGGCCATTTATGGGCCCAGCTGCCACAAGAGGAAGCCTCCGGCTGTCCCGTTAGCAGCGGGTTTGTGTCTGAGGCAGAGGCTTCGCTCCCCTCCCAAATCTGTCAGCGGCGGGGAGTCACTGCCCCTGAGAACAGCCTCCATCCCTCCCCCTGGGCAACCTCTGGGGAGAAACTGTCCCATAATCTGTAACTCAATAGATTTCCCCCCACCCCCCGGTACCTGGTCCTTGGCTGCTCGTGTGTGTGGGAGCCGGTGCCTCTCCAGGCTGGGACGGGTCGGTTCCCCCTGCGGGAATAGAACCAGTGTTCATCGGGGTAGGGGCTGAAACAGCGACTCAGCGATCGCCCCACCCCCACCCCCCACGACTCGGCATCGATCGTCGCTGTCATTCCAGGGGGGGATTTTCGTGGCTGGGGGCCAGTGCCGGCTCGGCAGCCCCCGGGCCCTGACTCCTCCGTGAGTCGCCAGAGCTGGGGCAGCCAAGGGAGCCTCCCCCTGGGGGCAGGGCCGTGTTCCCCTCTCATTTGTTACATCCATGTGTGGAATGAATTTTGTTATGTGCACAGAGAGGTGACGTGTGACGGGGGTGGGGCCGAGGGGTTCAGAGTGTGGGAGGGGGCTCAATGCTGAGGGAGGGGGTTGTGGGGTGGGTGGGTGAGGGCTCCATCTGGGGGTGCGGGCTCTGGGGTGGGGCTGGGGATGAGGGGTTTCGGGTGCAGGCTGCCCCAGGGCTGCGGCGGGGAGAGAGGACTCCCCCCAGCCCTCTCTCGCTGCTGCAGCCCGGGGCTGGGGGAGAGGTGCCTCTGCCTGGCTGTGGCAGCTTAGAGGGAACTTAGGGGCAGGGATCTCCCTTCCCTTGGTCCCAAATCTCCAGAGGCTGCTGCTCCCCCTGGCTGGGGAACCCCCCACCCCAGTGACTCCGTCCCCTCTCCCCGGCTGGGCGTCCCCTCTGCTGGGACCAGGGCTCAGGGCAGAGCCCCTCAGAGTCCGGCTGGGTGTGGGGCTAGGAGCGGGGATGCCAAGCCGGGACTCTCACCTGCTACCACCAGCTGCAAGGGGTCACTCTGCTGCGAGGAGACGAAGGGCTCTGATCGGGGCCGGTAGCTGCAGCTGTAGCTCCCTCCATGCTGCCGGCCCACGGTGGGGATGAGGAACTCGGCCCCGTCCCCAGCAGGGTCCATCTGTCGCTGCAAGTTCAGGTCTCCAGCCTTGTGCAGGAAGAACCTCACGTCCCGGCGCTGCCCCTGACACCGGATGGTGGCGTCTGCCCCTGGGGCGGTGACCGAAGTGAAGCTCAGCGAGATGGAGGGTCTGGGTAAGCTGGGATCTGCACACAGGAGACAGGCTCTGAGAGCCAAACCCGGGCACCCACCCAGCCCTGCCTCCCTGGCCTACCCCAGCCCTGGGCACATCCAGGGGCCCCCGGCCAGAGATTCTCTCCCAGATCCCAGAGTTTTCCCAGAGCCAGAATCCCGGCCCTGCGAGCTGGGCTCCCAGCCCCACAGACACCGAGCCGTGGCTCCCTAGTTCTTGGGTCCTCATATGCCCGTGTGTGGCCCCCGCCTCATTCACTGCGTCCGGCCTGCCCTGGACACAGAGCGACTGAGCTGTTCTCTGGGGCAGCGCACGGCCGGAGAGCAGCAGCTGAGCTGACCCCGAGCAAGGCAGGGGCGATGCTGGGGGCGGAGGGCAGCACCGGGAGGCATCGGCAGGTGCAGCGCAGTCTCCGGTGGCCGACGGCGCTTGCCCACAATCGGTGGGTTTAGGCTGCAGTCTGGGGAGCTCCTGGATTCCCTGCGGCCGCTGAGCTCTCACGTAGCAGCGTCCATGAGCAGCGCTTTCCCCCAGCTGGGCTGGGCTAGGAGACGCTGTCCCATCCTGGCAGCAATGACCTGCCCTTGGGTCACGCTGCTGGCGCCCATTGGCCAAACCGCGCTGTGATAGAGCTGGGCAGGAAGCCATCAGCCCTTCGCAGACTCCACCTGGCACAGACGCTGCAGCGCAGCTCCTCCCCAGCACAGGCTGCCGCGAGGGCACCACACTTGGCTCCCGCTCCCTGCATCAGCTTCCCGCAGACGAAGTCAAGTCCGAGGTCTCTGCCCTGATCTCCGAGGTGCCCGAGGACTGAGGCCAGCATATTCCTGGCTCCGGCTGCAGGGTGCTGCGAGTGCCGGGTGTGTGGACAAGCTCGAGGACAAGCCGCCCAGGGCACCGGGTGCACACGCGAGCGGCTAGTCCTGCCCGGCCACGGCTCCATTGCTATTTTCAGCTCCATCAGAGCTAGCCCGGGTGCTGCACGCCAGCCCCCAGCTGCAGGGCAGACACCCGACAACAGCCCCCAGCTCTGGGGGAACCCCGGGGTGATGGCTCCCTGCCTCCGGCCTGGCCACAATCAGGGTCAGGCTCATCTGGGCAGGGGACAGAACTTCCTCTGGGGCCGGGCCCAGGCTGCAGAAAGAGCTCCCCCCCAAACCTCCCCACCTCCGGCTCCAAGGCCAGGCGCCCTCCCCCGGCCGGCCTGCTCCGTTATTGACCCGGGGCAGCGCAGCCATTGACCCCCCAAACCGCCCCAGACCAGACCCTCCACGGTGGGCACAGACCTCTCCCGGGGAGAGGATGAGAGAGAACGACCTGCCCGTGACAGACGGGGCCACGTCCCTTAATGCTCGACTGGCAGGTGCTCGACACCGCTGTGACCAGGGCAGCGTCAGACCATGTGCAGGGTAGAAGGCTGCTCCCCCCTGGCTGGGACCCCCCCAGTGACTCTGTCCTCACTCCCCGGCCAGACGTCCCCGCTGCTGGGCCCAGGGCTCAGGGCACAGCCTGGCTCTGAGTGGCCCATCGGTGCGAGCCCCCCCAGGATCTAGCTGGGTGTGGGGCAGGAGATGCTGGGCTGGGCCCCTCACCTGCTACAATGATCTGCACAGGGTCGCTGGGCTCCGAGTAGGCAGCTGGGTCTGTTCTGTTGCTATAACGACAGGTGTAGCTGCCACCATGTTCCCGTCTGGCGCTGGTGATGGGAAATTCAGCCTCAGAGCCAGCAGGGTCTGTGTAATTCAGCGAGTTCCCGTCTCCAGCCTTGTAGAGTTGGATCCTCATGTCCAGGAGCTGATGCCAACACCAGATGGTGACATTTCCCCCCACGGGGATCACCCCACCGGGGCTGACGGAGATGGAGGGTTTGGGGAGGGACCCCTCTGGATTCACAAACAAACAGGCAGTAAGTGGGGGTGACACAAACCGCGTCCAGGGTGAGACACAGGAAGCAGAAAGGTAGGGTTACCATATTCAAACATTTAAAAAAGAGGACACTCCACGCGGCCCCGCCCCCACTCCGCCCCTTCCCTGCCCCCATTCCAACCCTTTCCCCAAAGTCCCTGCCCCAACTCTGTCCCCTCCTCTGAGCACCCCGCATTCCCCCTCCCGCTCTGATCTTGGTTGGAGGTTGCTAAGTGCTTCCCTGCTCCCCACTCGCCCTGCAGCCCCTGCACACACACCCCCGCCCCTGCAGCCTCTGCACCCCCCCCCCGCTGCCCTGCCCCTCCTCGCCCTGCAGCCTCTGTGCCCCCTGCCCCCGCAGCCTCTGTGCCTCCTGCTCCCCA